AGAGATGAAAAATTTTCTCATATCCAGTAACATTTCATTCTCCTGTTCGCCAAATGCAAAATAAGAAATCTCCACATTATTGATAAATCTTACAGGTAGGATCTACCTGCCTACGTCCATCTGTTCGTCAGTCCGGTCATCTGTTGATGGAAAACTTTATTCACATAGTTGTAGTTGACGCTTATGGATCACCGCCTACGTCCGTCTGTTTGTTAGCCCGGTCTTCTCTTGATGAAAGACTATTACATGCACAACTTTACTCACGTAGTTGTAGTTGATGTTTATGGATTATTACCCTACGTCCATTTGTTCGTTAATACGGTCTTCTGTTGATGAAAGACTCATGCCTGCAAAAGTTTATTCACGGAATTGTAGTTGATGCTTATGGATTACCGTCCATGTGCTCATGAGTACGATCTTCTCTTGATGAAAGACTCAAGCCTGCAAAAGTTTATCCACGGAATTGTAGTTGATGCTTATGGATCTATATTTAATCTGTCAGACTCTCTATAGTTTATAAAATCTATAAGAAATATACGCCTAGACAAGGTATTCAATTAAAACGAAGCACAAATATTACCGAAGGTTTTTGCCGAAGACGAAGCTCGTATAACGGTCTTCACAAACTTTTACTTTTTTTTTTTCTTTTTGTTTTTATATAGACAAAGTTCTGAATCTGGAACTTCTGTTTCGAGAAATCTATTAGGTGAAGTTTCCGTGACAGCATTTGTGCTTCGGAATCGCACTTGTCCATCCCTGCTCTATACAATGAATAGCTTAATAAATAGTTTTTTAAGTGACTCCCACCACAATCTTCACTTTCTTTTCGTCAATGTATTGAAACAATTTTAGATTACGAATCACGTATATATATATAAATAATCAACTAATACATACATATATAATTACTTATTGAATTATATTTTTGAAGAAAAAGAAATATCACGGAAATGTTCAGGCGAATTGTAGAAAAAAACGCGATTAGTGGACAAATTGCTTCTTTTTCCCCTTTTTTTTCAATAACAAATGCCGTAAGTGAACGAATAATTGCCATACGCATAATTAAAGCATGAGAGAATAAAATAATTTTGTCATTTGATTTTTAAGGTTTCGGCAACCGCATAAAATATACTTATATTTGATCAGGACTACGTTTATATAAATAACGCCTTCCTTGCCTTCGTTATCTGTAGGTTCACTGGATCGTTCATAAAGACTATGGTTATGTAAGTAATGGCTTCCTTACCAACTGCCTGCATATTTACTGAGGAGTTCAATTACGTTTTCAGAACTTTGGAGCTCTGAGATCTAAAGAACGTCCATATATAACTCTTACCCTAGTTGAGATATAAGCATGTGTATGTGATACAAGTAATTATATACGTAATCTGTATTAATAGATATTCGTCTACCTTTTGTTTACTTACACTGTTGGCCTAGTTATGAGAAATTACTTGAGCGTGTGCTTTCATCAAAAACAAAACAAAACAAAAAACAAAAATTTATTTAATCAGAAATTGGAAAATTTGGCGTTTGCACACTAATCCATAATTGAGTGGTGTATCATTTTCCGGAATGTCCTTCCTTCATTTATTTTTCCTCTTTTTTTCTTAATAATACTTAGAAACAAAATTTTTGGTTAACTTCAAAAATTGATAATAAATATTTCATGCATAGCACATATGCATTGTTTCGTATGCTCCTTCCACTCTTCAAGGCTTCGATATAAATTACAAGTAATACGAAAAATGCTATTAGCACGCGAGGTTTATTGTACAAAATTTTTGGTCAATATTATGCATTGGACTGGGACAAATGACTTTTGGAAAAAAATTAACTTTTTTTTTTCTTCACTTTATTTATACCCGTAGGTAATAAAATAAGCAAAAAAATTTATATCTGCTTTAGGGTGAATTTCTGCAAGTCAAACAAATGTATTTCTATCATAGATTTGTTTACAAGACAACGCATCACATGTAGATATGCTAGGTGATCTAAGTGGTCGATATCCGTCCGTCCGTCTGTCTAATGTCTGTTATAAACATTCTCCTGGCCGTAAATATTAAGCTATCAACTTCAAATTTGGCAGAAACAGTGCAAATTTTTGCACACAGGTTGGCATTGAAAATGGGTTAAATCGGTCCAGGGGCACGCCCTCAGCACCACGTAAACTGAGAACACCTCTGATTTTCTGCTCATTACTCATAAACTATAACAAATAAATGTACAAAAATTTGAACGCATTTTCTCTGGGCGATGCGGTAGCAGTTGTGAAATTGAAAAAATTGACCACGCCTTTTTAATACTATGGTGTATCAAAATTTGTTTTTTATTTAATACCTTTACAGGGCGCAGAAACAAGCTTCAAAAACCCGATAAAGTATACAAATTCTTGACCAGTTACAACTGTTGAGTGCACTTAAACATGTCCGCCTGTTCGTCTGTCCATCTACCTGTTGGCAGAAGGACGATATTATGCGTTTTATGGAACCACAAGACTGCGGCTTGCTGTGGGCAATTAGAGTCTACTGAAACGGTTGATACCAAACGTTGGCAACAACAATTAATCGATTTTAATCATCCCGCCCATACAGTGAAAACGTTGGATGCACTTAACCCGGAAGTGCTAACTCATGCGACTTACTCACCCGACTTCTGCTCTCTCCGATTACTAGCCATTTGCATCAATGGTTTACACACTTGCTCAGCCGTTCTTGACTTTCTACGAAAATGTACGGAAATAGTTTGATCACTGGTTTGGCTGCAAATACCAACAGTTTTTTTGGGCACGGCACCACAAAGTATCCAAGAATATGTATAGCTACCAATCAACAACATTTCGAATAAAATTTTTTTTGCCATTTTCATACAATAGACTTGTAATACCGTACATTACTTCTGGTACAGGGTGCGTTAAGTTAGTGCAGATGTATGTAACATGCAGTAGGGCTTAAGATAAGCCCAACTTTTGTTACACCGACCGATTTAGAATCATAATCTGAATTAAACTTAACCTGTCTGTCCGTCTGTTATTTTGAAAACATTTCCGAAGCGACTTTTCTTTACGTGCTGGGCAAGAATTGATGTGTGCGTACATATATACCGCCGCTGTTGTGCTTAGCGAATAACGTTTTGCAAAGATGCATTGGTGTGTATACAATTTAGTATTAAAGTATATAAAGTATGTCGGTAATGTTACGGCAGTCGCTGGTGTATCCTACAGGAAGAGCGAAAGAACTGCAACAGCCCTAAGAAGCTGGCGGGCCTGCACAGCATTTGCCTTCGGACGGCGGAGATCATTTGAATTCCCCAATACGCCAGCCGACCTATGAAGATAATGGTGTTGCTGTCTGCATAGAGGCGCCACAATTTTATAAATTTATATCTAAAACAAAGTTTGGAACTCGCACAAAAACTTATATAAATAAATAAATTTTATTTTTTCATATATAAGAAGCAAAAAAGAAAAACAGATTTGGCAGACAGGAATGGAAGAGAAAATTTTAGTATTATGATAAAGAAGACATCGTTTACATGAATTAATTCTTAATAATATGTTATAGCAGAGCTGTTAACATTCACTGTAGAACTATAAAGAAGAATGTGTGGTAATTAACTGTTTCTGCAATGAAAAGCTTAAAAATTTAAATATTTATTTCTTCTTTCTCTAATTGTTAAATTTTATATAAATTTCTATTCGATTCATTGCATTTTGCATGCTTGTAATTATTTACCATATGTAGGTTGTTTATGTGCCTTCACATAATTGTCAACTTCGCTCTCATTTTCTATATATGTATCTCTCAGTTATTAATGCATTGCGATGGAAACTTTTGAGGGGAAGTATGGGGAAAGCTGGCGACGATGGCACCTGACCAGACTCTTGGCGATAATCAATTCCTCCTCCTAAAAAAAAACTAGGCGATAACCAAGGCGATGATCGCCTGTTTAGATGATTACCCCCTACTTTTCAAATGAGATAATTGAAACGTAAAGATAACCGATGCGACCCAATTCGGGGCTTCTTGAAGGTCATACGAAGATATAAATTCATTGAGAGTGTGAAAATTGAATTGAACACAACTCGCTCTACTTAGAATGGCCAATAATTGCATTCGCATCCGGAATGAAAGCAACTAAGAAAATTCCTAAAGAAATTCGTAAGTAACGGGTTGTGGTAGAATTTTTAATACCCAACTCAAAAAGTAACAAGTAAAAAAACTCGTCCAGAAGAAACCTTTGCTACTCTGCAATATGTTGTGGGCGCGGTTGATATTTTTCATGTACTGTAGGATGTGGAAATTTTTGTTGTTACGTATTTTGCAGCATACCAGAACTCACCAGACACCAGAGCGGTTATGTTCTCAGCTTATGCCACACTGTAGGTCTCTCCTTAGACCGATTTGAACCATTTTCAATACCGATGTAGATGCGAGAATTTTGCAAGGTTGTTCTCAAATTCGAAAAGGACATTACACACTACTTTACTACACACATTCGACGTGTGGACAGACGGACAAGAATACTCCCATCACACGATGGATGATATAAAAAGTGAATAGATATGCAGAAGAGCTTAGCGTTTCTGTCACTCTATCGAACGTAGTAAAGTCAAGAAAAAATCCAGGGAAGTAGAACACAGAGTATAACCTAAACTAGGAAAATGTTACGAAACAATAAAAACGAAAAAAAGAAGAAAAAAAAACAGATAAGAGCGTTGTACTTAAAGCGAAACTTGAACATGAAGCTCAGAATGAAAAGTCAATAAACCTTTAAGTTTAGTTTAGAGCGTAACGTGTGGATCTTTAAGCCAAACAAAGCAAAGTGAAAGAGACTTTAGCCAACTTATGCGAAAGAGAGTCTGGTCTGTATGTCGCGTGTTCTGTTGGCCATAATTTCATATATGCTTACATTAGCGGTTGTGTTGTGAGAGTGACTGCATCACTATTGCTTAGCTTAAACAACTTTAAACAATAAACATTTTCAATCAAGTGTTTAGTACATATTTTGCCGGTTATGCGTTCAAAAGGCAAACAGAGAGACACTATTAATAGCAAATTCATACTCAATTGAAATATAAAAAGAAAACAAAAAAAAAAAAAAAAAAGAAAACCAGAAGTGAAGATAAGATAATAATGAACACTTTATTATGTATTTTTTTTACCTTCATTGCTTTACCATATCACGTGGTGATGAGCAGTTCCTGCATGGGTTGCGTGGATTTAGATGAATTGAATTTCGATAAAACCGTACGACGCTTTCCATACGCTTTAGTTAAATTCGATATAGCATTTCCTTATGGCGACAAGCATGAAGCTTTTGCCTCTTTCTCGAAAGCGGCGCATACGGTCACCGACGATATACTAATAGCAACAGTAGGTATTAAAGATTACGGTGATCGTGATAATGTGAAGTTAGGCGAACGTTACAAAGTCGATGATAAAAACTATCCCGCCATTCTGTTATTCCAAAAAGGCGACGACAAAAACTATGTGCAATTTCCCTCGTATCTGGATATTACTGAAGATAATTTGAAAAGTTTTGTCAATTCGCATACGGAGTTGTATATAGGCCGCGAAGGTTGTTCACGAGAACTTAATGATTTGGCGAAAAATTTCGCTAATCTAAGCGAAGAAGATCAGCTAAAGCGTTTAAAAGATGTTGAGGAATTGCAAGAGAAACTTACTAAAGAGCTGGATAAGCAAAATGCAAATATCTATAAAATTTATATGGAGAAAATTCAATCTAAAGGCTACAGTTTCGTTGAAGATGAAACTAAACGTTTGGCTCGTTTGAAAGCTGGCAAAGTAACGGAGCTTAAGCGATCTGAGCTCGTAATTAAGTTAAATATTTTAGAAGCATTTCGTGTTAATAAATTAACAAAAGATGAGCTTTAAACCCGAAGCAATGTATTAATTAAATTAATAAAATAAATATGATTTCCATGCTATATTACATTTCTTATAATTTTGATAGAGAATTTCTTTTGCGTGTATAAATTTATTGATTTCTGCAAGTTTTGTTCAAAGTAAAAAGCTTCGTGTTCAAAGGTTTAGCTTAATGTCTAATTATAACAATTAAATGCCATGCTCTTCAACATGTATGCTCTCCCCAACGGTTTCCAAGTGCGGACACTACCGACTACCGGTTTATATTACAAAATGAAAATTATTTAAAAACATTGTTTTAAAATTATTTAGCAAAACAGATTATTTGCTTCTTTTTCTTGTTTCCTCTGTTTCTCTTCTTTTCTCAATTCTCCTTAAGTAATTTTCGAATAGCGAGACAAAAGGTATGAAACTGAACGATTGTACATGTGTTCGATGGTACGATTTTATTATTATTATTATTATTATTATAAATTTAATCAGAGAATACATTTTAAAACTAAAGTCTTCTCTAAAGCACTGACATCTAAGGCTTTCGGCCTTGCCGCACTAGAGATTTGAATCTACGACCATTGAGTTGCTACTCGAGACTCTTGCCTACTCGGCCACTCAAGCGGATTAAAGTTAAGTTAAAATGCGAGCTTGTTAATAAAGGACTTCAGGTACTTAAGAGAAAAACTTTACGCCATATGGACTTTAAAATTTGTGTGTAGCAGTAGATCAGGAAAGAAGAAAAAGAATGCTTGGAACTTTGGATGATTAAGGGAAAATTTCATCATGTGTGCCATACTTTAAAACTTGTGTGTATCAGTAAAACAGAAAAAAAGAAAAAGGATGCGATCATACTGATATGGGGCTTGAGCTACTTAGGGAAAGACTTACGTCATATGTACTTTAAAACTGGTTTGCATCAGCAAAACAGACAAGAGGAAGAAGAATGCTTGGAACTTGGAGTACTTAAAGCAAAATTTACGCCATATGCACTTTAAGACTTGTCTGTAGCGGTAAAACAGGAAAGAAGAAGGAGAAAAGCTTACTCAGCAATGCAATTTGAAAACACCGGATGTATTGGATCTCCGGCGCAGAATGTCACCAAATCGTTGAGAGTTTCAAAAACGAGCTCTAAAGTCAGGCTTAAAAGGCATTAATCTGACAAGGCCGGCCGGCCGGCTGACCATTACATAGCCAACTGTCCGAAACTAAAGATCGTATGGATCTATGAAAAAGTTTTGCAACGAGGAGGGTCAAAATTTAGATAATTATTTTTTCAAAGGATTTCTTACTTTTTTTTGTCATAAAACATCAAAGAGTAGATCTCCCTTGTTGCTCTATAAAGACTTGATTTTCATGAGAGATGCAATGGGATGCATATAAAAACATAACTGAAGGATTTCATACACGAGGCTGTTTGTGCCCACTGCAAGCTTCAAATCCAGCACATATGCAGCTTCAACTTTAGTCGTTGTTTACTTAAAATTATATTTTGTTGCCACATAAAAATTTCCTTTTTGGTACGAATGCGAAGGAGGGTTTAATAAGTCCTTTCATGCTTCTTTTCTCGTGAAAATTACTTGAATTTGAGATTTGGACGGACGAACAAACAGACTTCTCTCCTCTCCGCACAAAAAATTATTCATAATCGTTTGGTATAAATAAAAGTGTTGACTGCGTGCATCCACGCAACTTTGATATGTGTCGATTGCGAGCATTAAGACATTTAGCGGAAAAAATTTGCCGCTAATTACGCAGGGCGATAGCATGGTTTCATTTCCAAGTTTCGATATAACAAAGTAAATCCTACGCGAAATTGTTTGCCTGCAAACAGCTTAACCAAAACAAAAGATTTTTTATTTGGGAAACGTAAGTAAATTAAATTTGTATACTCTATGTAACATCCAGAGGGGCTTAAGACTTTTATTCTACCGATCGTTTCAGAATCATTTTCTAAATCTAAGCCTGTCTGTCGGCCTGCCCGTCTAATGTCATGTGTTTTTGTGTTCAAGCTGCAGGTCGCAATTTTTGAGATATTTTGATGCAATTGGTTACAGTAACGTGGTTTGACCGAATGATAAACACTATTGAAAATGATTTCGATAGGTCTTCCTTTTCGATAACGCCCTATTTCGAAAAGTCGTTATATGGAAAAAAATCCAATTTTCAAAATTTCTCGGCAAAAGTGGCTAAGTAATAGTATTGCGGCATTTTAATTAGGTATAGAAGCTTTGAAGGGCAATTTTTGAAGGCTCTCCCATATTATAAAAACTGAAGTTCATACTACAAAAAGCTATAATTTTCAATACTTCATTTTGAAAATTATATCAGTATATAGTAATTTAAACTAAAACAATTAACTGTACCACATTTAGACCATATCGGCCTATTTTTTGAAGACTTTATTCTTGATCCTTTTGATGCTTTGATCCATAAAAGTCTCAATTTTAATATGTTGTGATGAAAATTAACCTATAGTAGTAATTTGACATAAGGAATGATATAAAAAGTACCTGGACTTTTGAACCCCTCACGTAAAATCATTCTAGTGGGACGCAGGACTTCATTTGCAAAGAAGTCTAATTTTTACTAAGCAGTCCGATAATAGTATATTCCAGGGTATAATTTCTGTGTTAATTGCCAAAAATAAAAATTGTACAGGGTGTAAGGTATTTAATAGTCGGCGTAGCCTGACTATACAATGTTTTCACTTGTTCCTTCTATTATACTTGCAAAGTTTTGCATGTTTGCAATAGCCATGTCCAGGGTTTATCACCTCCAAAATTGTAACACCTATATATTAAAAAACTGCACTTGAATAAATTCGTTAACATTTTTTATAACACACTTTGCATATTGCAACTCTTCGCCAAACATGCATACACTATATGTAAAGATTAATAGTGAAAATATATATATATATATTTATATATATATTTTCTTTTATTTTTTGTAACATCAAGTATGATTTCTTTTTTATTTATGTTTGTACTTTTGTTTAGTTTTCTTCGTAATTTTTTTATTCTTTCAATATCGTGCAATTATGAATTACCTTAGCAGAGCTGCGAAACAAGTGTGAAGAAAGACCAACTTTTAGCAAAGACAAAAATGTGGGCGCATTGGGTTACTTTTGCGCTTATCAAAATAAACTGAAAATTATACATTATAAGTGTGCCCGGGTAAATGAAAACGCAAGGAGTGCGCAATCGTTTTCGTCACCGCCGATTGCCGAAAGCATTTTAAATCATTTCCGTATTTTTCGGTTTATAGGACGCACTTCAAAATTATAAGGTGATTATTTGAAAAATATATTTTAATGTTACTTTCAGAGCAAAATTTTCATCTATTGTTAACATAACCTGTTAACATAACCTGTACAGTTGATCTTTACTCTCGGTGCTATTACTCGTATTGTTAATGTCAGCGTTCGTATTACTTGAATCTGAAGTGTTATTACCTGAAATTTAGGTAGTTTAATGTTACCTACGGACCATAAAACGCACCCAAAAGATGCGTCTTATAGCCCGAAATATACTATACTTGCAATTTTTCATTTTTTTTTTTTTTTTTCGTTTTGTTAAAAGTGCTTACTATCCCACTTCATTTCATTTTAATAAAAATTTAATGTAATTTTCATTTTATTTGCTTTTATGTGTTTTTGTTGTTGATATTGTCTATTTGTAAACAAACAAACGTCATAGTACCCTCGCATTGCACGTTACTTGCAAGTTACACTCTCGAAGTGACAGCGAGCGAACTAAAAAGTACGTAGTCGATACCAGTACATTACTACAAAATACACAGTACACAAAATTAAAATAGCTTCCATTTGTCTCTTTATTAAAATAATCAAACTTACACAAAGTAATTTGTATCACCTGGTTGGGTTATTTTTCTGTAATCTACGCCACTGTCCATATCCGCCACTTTGGAACGGTTAAGCAATACACCAATAAATTGTACAATGTTCCTACGCTGCAATCCGTCTTCATAAGGATTCTTAGGATGGTAATTACTACGCAAACTATTCCCTCATTAAAGAGATGAGTACATAAACTCTCCTCGTCAGCTATATCAGTCAACTGGAATTCATCGAAGCATATTCGCCAACTTTCTCGCGCTATTGCCCTAGCAACTGGCAATGTGGGCTGAGAGGGTTGAGGATTTTCAACATCGGATATTGTAAGCGAAGTTCCCTGCTGCACTTTCGCTTTATGAACGCGTGAAGTGAACCCGATTTTTATATTTAATCCGCATAATAAAAGGCAGGTTTTATATATATACATATATATGAACATGTAATAAATTTATTTATTTGAAATTAACTGTTTTTTAGTTACATATATATAAGATTTTTATTCAAAATATTTTTAGTTTTTTTGTTCATCAAATTCCTTCTACTTTTAATATTATGAAATGTTCCAAAGATTTGTAGTTATTTGTCTCGCGGTTGGTCTATATTACCTCGCACGGTTTTCTACACCACTGGCTCCCCTGTAGGGCTACATTATAAACTTTAATGTACATACAAGATTAGGATCGCTGCGCCGGTGTGTTGATACCTGGGAAAGAAAAATATTTTGAATACTGAATTTTTTATATAAAGACGATCACAAACTTGGTCACCATTTGGCCTATGGCAGTATCGAAGTCCTCTGAAGCGATAGTGAAGGCATATGATTGTTTTTCAATCTAAAATGGAATAAAAAGGAATGAATATATTATACATATATATACACACATATATATTCAAATAATTTTCGTTAAACTTGTTCCTTTAATATATTCTTTCGATATTTTTAAATTTTCTTTTCGCAATTATTCACTTCGTATAACTTCTTTGTGCAATTGTAAAATGACTTTATAAAAAAAAGTACCATGTGTTGAGAATAGAGAGAGCAAAGAGTTGCTCTCAATAAATTTCTGTTAAAGTGGTAGAAATTATTTCGGAATTTCTGTTAAATGAGAAATTTTCTCGGAAATTCTGTTAATAAGAATTTGAGGATTATTCAGTTGGA